TAGCCTTAACAACTCATCACTAGATTGCTTAGTCATGCTTACTAGACTTGCCAACACACTTCTAGCCTTAACTACTCATCACTAGCTTGTTTAATCTTATAATTAAGATGTTTCACTAAATGTAACAGCTACTGGAGTACTTGAATTATTCATAATTATTTGCATTTGAGGTTGAAATATTAAGATTTATCGAATAAAGAAACTAGGGTGTTACAATTTTTTCCCATTCTTACAAGAATTTTGTCCTTGAAATTTTACTCAAAAAGATGTGGATATTTATTCCTCATTTCTGACTTGACCTCTCATGTTGCCTCTGATCCATGAGAATAGTCCCAATGAACTAGTACCAATGATACCTCCTTGTTCCGAGGTTTCTTAACTTTATGCTCAGTGATAGCTATAGGTTCTTCTATAAAGTTGAGTTTATCATCAACTGAGATATCTTCAATCCGCGCTACGTCGTCTTCCTTAGCAAGGCAATTCTTTAAGTTGGATACGTGGAACGTATTGTGTATTCACATAAGCTCTTTTGGTAATTCAAGTTGATAAGCTACCGCCCCTACCTTTTTGTCTATCCTGTAGGGTCCAAAACATAGCACCCCCTTCCATGGAGATACTTTCAATAGTACTTTGTCATCTACTTGAAATTCAATAGGCTTCCTTCGTTTGTTAGCATAGCTTCTCTGCCTATCTTGCGCAACTTTAAAGTCTTTCTCTTATTTGAATCACCTCATCTACTATTTGTTGGATAATTTCAAATCCAGCCAATTGCTTTTTACCGACCTCCATCCAACATACAGGTGTTCTGCATTTTCTTCCATATAGAACTTCTATGGGGAAGCTTGAATACTACTATGGTAGCTATTAGTATAGGCAAACTCAATAAGAGGTAGATGACTATCCCAATTTCCTTTTAAGTCGATTGCACATGCTCGCAACATGTCTTCTAAGGTTTGAATGGTCCTTTCACTTTGACCATTAGTTTGAGGATAGTACGCTGTAGCTCATTCTAATCTGTGAACCCAATTCCTTTTGGAAACTTCTCCAAAAATTTGAAGTAAAAACGACTATCTTGATCGGAGACAATTGATAGGGGTACTCCATGCCTTGACACTATTTCATCTATATACATTTTCGCCAATTGTGTCAATGTATATCTCTCCTTCGTTGGCAGGAAATGTGTTGTTTTTGTTAAACGATCAACGATTACCCATATGGCATCTGAACCTTTCAACGGTGTTGGTAGTTTAGTCACAAAATCCATGGTGATGTCCTCCCACTTCCAAACGGGGATGTCTAACGGTTGTAACTGTCCATACGGTCTTTGGTGTTCAATTTTAACTTTTAAACATGTAAGACACCTTTCAATAATTGGTTACTGAATTTTTCATTCCTGGCCACCAATACAAAGCTTTTAAATCTTTGTATATTTTATTGCTTCCAGGATGGATAGAATACTTAGATTTGTGTGTTTCATCAAGGATTATTTCTCTACATTTTTCGACTTTTAGGATCCATATTCGTCCTTGAAATCTCTTAATTCCCTGATTGTCAGTTTCCAGTAGTTTGATTTGTCCAGTAATTCTTTCCCCCTTCTG